TGGAGTTCCACGAGAGAGTTATTCTTTTTATCTTCCGCTGTGTTATGTAAGTCAATGTGATGCTATTATTCGTTATGTAAGATACACCGTGATGATACTTTTTATAATTTGTCAACTTATGTGTGTGACTGATCCCTGGGCACACATGAGTTTAGTGCATTCAATTTTATCCTTAAAATTGGGTGTGACATTCCCGCAAATCAGCTAGATGCTCCTTAAACCCTTTGGATTTTATCATTACATCATCGATGTAGATTTCAACAATCCTACCGATCAACTTATGAAAAATATAGTTCATTGCCCTTTGATAAGTTGCACCGGCATTCTTCAGACCAAAGGTCATCACAACCCACTCGAATAAACTGATTGCGCCGGGGCACCTGAAAGCGGTCTTTGCTATGTATTCCTCAGCCATGAAAATTTAGTTATATCCTGCATTGCCGTCCATGAAGCTAATAACCTTGTGCCCGGCTGCTGCATCTACTAACATACCAGCTATCAGCATTGGATAACCATCCATGGGTGTGGCTTTATTCAGATCCCTAAAATCGATGCAAACTCTTAATTTTCCATTCTTCTTATACACAGGGACAACATTCGATATCCACTCTGCATATCAGCACGGTCGGATAAACTTTGCTTCCATTAACCTTTCAGTCTCCTTTTTGATATCATCAAGCACGTTTGGGTTGAATCTCCTTGGAGCTTGTTTAAACGGCCGATATCCAGGTTTGGTTGGCAACCGATGTTCAACAATTGATCGGTCTAGACTAGGCATCTCATAGTATTCCTAAGCAAAACAGTCTTTAAATTCCTTTAACAAATCAACTAACTCTCGCTTATACTCAGGATCCAACTTGGCACTTACATACGTCGGCCTAGGTCTATCTTCAGAACCAATATCTACTTCTTCTAATTCATCGGCCGACGTGAAGCCATGTCCTAGTTTGCTATCTGTATCATCTATTGGATTATCCATTAAGACAAATTTTTAAAGCCGACTGCTTGGATCGGCTGTTGGCTTTCATTATTGACTTTAATAAAGCCTCCATCCCATATCTTACCAGAAAAGCATTCGAAGTCTCCTAGTTCCTAAAAGACTGGATCGGCTGTTGTGATACTCACAGACTCATCAGCGCGATCTAGCTCGACATCATCTCCATGCCATTGAATCAAACACTCATGCATGATCGATGGTACACAGCAGTTCGCATGAATCTAATCACGACAGCTGGTGTTGCTTCTTGATAGCTGGAACCAGTTTGATTAGTCCCTTGAGTCGACGAATGTGGAATGTTGTAATAAGTCGGTCCAACCTGATCAACTGAAAACCCATGAAACACATCTTTCATGGTGTTATGGAATGTGTTCAAGAAAACTTCATTATGGTTTGATATGGCATCATGAACATATTTATTTATAGCTTTTGTGAAGAAACGCCTGTCTTCAGTTTCATCTGCATCTGGCTGCCCATGCAACAGAACTCTTGGTACTAGATATTTCTGAACAATTGTATTGTCGTGTGTTTTGGTGTAGGACAACAAACACTTGTTCTGAAATTCTTCTATAGCTTTGTCGATGACATCTTTATCTCCATTGGGTAAGTCTTCCTAAGGTACCAAAAGGATGTCGTTGTTGTTGTGAGCCGCCATGACGATTGTGGGGTCCCACCGAGCGTGCCAAAACATGTGTCGGCACGAAAATTTCATCCCGTGTCGGAACACACGAGCAAGCCGGAAGGGTCCGCTCGATGGAGCTGGAGATCTGCCTAACTTCAACGCAGGGATTATCGATCCTGCGCACTCCTCCCGAGACGTGCCAGTCAATTTGACCCTACAATTGATAAGGAGGGAAAGCTAATCAATAATTTAAAGCGAAACATGCCGGTGTTGCCAGACAGTCCCGAATGTGCGGCTCTGATCGCCGATGTGGAAGGAGATCGACTAAATAGCCGATTCTAGCATACTCATAAGAATAAATCAGTTAAAGCTCATGGGGTTATGAAAGAAAAATCGGTTATCATTTAGGATGAATATCGTTATTTAGACAAATATTAGTCAATGGCAATAGGATGTCAACACTAATCAGTGTATGCTAAGCCAATGACTACAAGTAACCAAATCCCTTTTTATATGAAAATTCAGCCCATCACCATTTAACCATTTAATAGAGATAAATCTATGAACATATTAGATCTCATCTATCGCTATGACCAGTGGGGCATGAGGCAGAATCATGCAGGTCGTAGAAACAACAATAAATTCGACGACCCTAACTTATTACTAATATCAGTGGGTCGTGAGGCAGAATCATGCAGGCCGTAATACAATAATAAGATCATGGGGCTAACACATCTTTCAACATATATTTACTTCAACGGTCTCATGACATGAGATGCATATGTGAAAGCACTCGATATCGGCTAAAATAGCCGATTCAGGCATAGCGCACAATTAAGGTCATGCCCTATCAGGAACAGATCTACCAAATAACGATCCCCACTCCATGGTGCTAACAGTGGGGTGTGAGGCAGAATCACATAGGCCGTGATAACGGGTCATGGAACGGTTTTCGTTAGCCAATAGATCTATTCAAGACTAGACATGCCTTAACCATATACTATGCATGATCAAGATTGACATAAAACAGCCGATAAAGATAACTCATCGTTTAAGATGCAGATTAGATCAGTTTAGATTAATAAACGATGGGTTAAACAGGATATAAGGCCGATCTAGATCAATTCTAATTGGACGAAGTGATATTGCTGTAATTAAATAAATAATGAAAGCAATAAACAATATTGGTAACTTAATGAATCTATCCGAAGGATGCCACCCTTAGATAGAGCCGATAACTTGACCTTAATCTAGTTCGAGCAGTGGAGGTCAACCGAATCAATGCAACCTTACTTGAACTAAACAAGAGTCGATAACTAGTTTATACCAGAGTCGCAGTGGAGATCGACCGGATCGATGCAGCCGTACGAACAGAAGTATAAGCCATGACGGTACTTATAGACAAGCCGGAGGTCGGCCGGACCGATGCAGCCCTGCTCGCTGAAGAACTCGCCGAGATCTACTCTACTCCTACTCCTAAGGGGTAGCCGGAGCCAAAAAAGTAAGTAACTTGTATTTGATTGATTGTGTGTCTTTTACAATAGCCGGGGTCTAATATATATACCCGGAACCTACGCATGAATCATACTTAAGCACGACTCATCATAATTTTTGGCCTAAGAGAAAACATTCCTAATTTAAGATAACTTGGACCCTAATCTTTCCCATTTTGTAGAGTCCAACATATTTTTCCTGGCGTCGATCATAGTTTCTGTTGTTATCTACTGGTGCTATCTGAAGAGAGCCGATTCCAGTACTGCATTCGAATCAGCTGATACCGACCTTCATGCAATCGACATGATCTTGGAAGCTTTCGAGTTCCTGTAATTCTTCTTCCAAATTTTGGTGTAAACAATACCATCGTACTCTCAGCCCTTAGTCACCCCAGAGTGCCACCGATACGTTGAGGCTGTGAAACGTGCTCCTAAGGCACAAGGGGCACAAGGGGCTCGTGAGCGCTAGAGTCTCCGCTCCACATCCCTATACACTATCCTCTATGTCCTCTACACATGAGTGGAATTGCCCTAACTATGTGACATCTGACTGCGCCCTCCCAGGCCAGATAGTGTATACGAGAAGCTCCTGTGAAACTGGATACCCAACTGATTCCTTAGAGGCACAAACAAGGCATCTCCACCAAATGAATTACTTTGGTTCTCGGGTGCACCATAGGCACTTTCTTCTCAAAAACTCAACCCATGAAGAGTCTCATTTTCGCGGACTCCGTAATCCCGAATAGCCGCCACAAGTACCCTCAGAGAGAGCTCAGGTCACACTCTGTCAGCAAGACATTGTTCGAAGACTATTCTAACACACAAAAATGTTTTGCAACCTAGGTTTTAACTCTACTCTAGAATAAAAATTCTTAGAAAGTAAACTACAGGATGCACTAGAGAGTGATATGAAAACTCTGTTTTTTCACAAGATATCAAAGTGTTGATGCTCTTTAGTAGTGTTCACTGGAGCAACTAAAACACTTTTTAGTGAGTCCATATTATTTTTTTATTGATCATAACAATTTTACTGATTCACTGGAACCGTCGTTTCATATTTAGTAAAAAAAGATCATGTTCACATGAAAATTGTCATAAAGAGAAAATTGTTTCTATTCTTGGAAAGTTATTATAGATTTACAAAAAAAAATATTCTAGGTTTGTGAAATTGCTCTACGTTCCAGTGAAAATGGTTTATTTCTTTAATAAAAGAATATTCAAATCTTAATAAAAATATAAAAAAGGTTTCATCTACTTATGTACAATGTACTAATAAATATCATTATTGTTTCTCTTATTTAAAACTAATGTTGTAGTAGCCATTGATAGAGCCCATGGAAAGGATAGATATGAAATCAAGAAGAAAACTAAATTTAAAAAAAAAAAGAAAAGAAAGAGAGAAAACAAAAAAAGAAGTTTATTAGAAAAGAAAAAGAAAACGTGTGAAAAAAAACGGCCCAGGAGAAGACCCGCGTGCGTTCTCCCCGGGAGAACAATCCCGGACTGGGCCGGCCGTCCGCCGCATTTCCCTTCTGGTGACGGTTGACCCAGCGTGCCTTTCTGTCTGTCTCCCTGCCTCCCTGGCACGGTGGCACCCCCGTGCCAGGTGCCTTTGCTGAGTCCGCCTCCGCCCCTGCCAAGAACCGACTTCGATTGGCTAGATTCCGAGTCGATTACGACTCGACGTGTTGACCACAATGTATTGTGTTCGAGATCGTCAGCCATCCAGGGCATCAGAAAACACACCACGATCGCATCCCTAGCGCCGCCGTTTCCGCCGCGATAGACCACCAGCCTTGCGGCGGCCAATGGCCGTGGTAATCTCCGCCGTGGCCCCGAACCGCACACCGGCTCGTCCCGTCTGTCACGAGCATCAGGTTCAGGTGCCATGCCGCCGCCGGCACTCGCGAAGAAGGATGCACAAGACACGCTGTTCACGGATGACGAATTCCAAGCGCTAATGAGCGGACAGTGCGAGCTGCTGTCCTTCTCCGACAACGATCTCCGGTCGTCGCCGCCGCTACTGTCCCTCCAGCTGCAAGCGCAGCTGCTGTGCAGGGACGACGCGTACGCCCGGCTCCAGGAGACGCCGCCGCCGTTCGCCCTGGACGACCTCGAGGCGCCGATCTCCGATGGGGACATCGAGCGGCTCGCGCCACTGTTCTGCGACGAGGAAATCCAGGCGCTCTGTGCCGCGCCCGCGCAGCAGGAATCGATGCAGTTCTCGAGACCACGCTCGGACTACCAGGCCGGCAAGAAAAGGATGTCGTCCCCACCGTGGCCGTCTTGCATAGCCGATGACGACGACGAGGCCGAGGAGGCCGGGCCACCGCCGCCGTCGCCCCCTCCAGCTCTGACCAAGAAGGCAAGAACGAAAACGAAGAGCAGAAGCAGGCGCGAACATGAGCCGCCGCACCGTCCTCCTCCGATCAAGAAGGCAAGAACGCAAACGAAGAGCAGAAGCAGCCGCGAACACGCTGCCGTCCGTGCGACCCGGCTCCGGCACCGTCTCCGAAGGTGGCACAACACGATCGCGACTCGCATACTGATGCGCCAGTTCCGGGCGCCGGAGCTCTCGCGCGGCCGGACGGTCCTGAGGTGCTAGTGCCCGGAGCTCGCGCTGGCGGACGACGAGCACGAGCCTCGCGGCTTCGGCTGCTGCGCGCTGCACCAGGACGCGCTGCCGGGGGACAGGGCGTGGATGTACTCGGCTCAGGGCCACGCCTCGCCGCTCGTCGGCGGCCCCGGAGAGGTCCTGGTGCCCGCAGTGTCCGCAGGCAACAGCAGAGCGATGGTGCGGCAGTACTCGCGGTGGCGACGCAGCGTGTCGATGCCGACCCGCTTCTACGTGCACCGCGCCGTGGAGAAGGGGCTCGCTCAGCAGCAGCCTGACGACGACTGGACGATGCCTGAATACTAGAGCCGCCACGGTCGACAGGCGCCGTCGTCGCGCCGAGCTAGTGTATTATGGTAGTCAGTGTAGCCATGACACTGCCACCCGATGGCGTGTTTGTGATCGAGGCGAGGGGACACGGTGAAAGAAACCGACACTATTTTCAGGGGAATCATGTATGACACTCGAATGTTGGGACACTCGTGGATTTTTGTTGCTGCTTACCGTGTAGTGTTTCTATCAGTTTGTGGCCTTCTTTCTTCAGTAATGTTCAGAGGTGTTGGAACACCTCTTTCTATGGCAAATCGCATATAGCTGTTCGTCCTTGTTGATCCGAGAGGTGCTTCAACTCTATAGTCACAGTGAATTACTCCCTCTGTTTTAAATTATAATTTATTTGACTTTTTTTACCCTAAATTTGACCACTTATCTTATTTAAAAAAATTGTGCAAACATAGTTAAATTTAAGTGATTCTTGAAGAACTTTTGTTAATAAAGCCAGCCACAGCAAAAGAAGTGATATTTTACACAAATTTTTGAATAAGACTAGTGGTCAAACTTGGGGTAAAAAAAAGTCAAATGAATTATAATTTGGAACGAATTTAGTATGTATTTATGTTGTTGTAGGCTCACGGGCATGATGTGTATGCAACTGATTGATTAGTAACTCTGTAAGTGAAAACTTTGCTTTGGGCCACAGATGATTGGTTAATTTACAAGTGAAAAATCACTAGTACTATTTCTTTCTTCATTTCCTGCTATCAAAATAGGTATAATATATATCCGTGTAGGAGTGGAGTTTGTATCATGTATGCCTGTGTTTCTTTTTTTAGTCTGTTTGAGGTTGAACTACTAGCACTAACTGAACTGGTGCATTCTATATAGTGATATGAAATTCATTCATATTCATATTGTTTTCAATAGACTTGTGCATGGGTCAACCAACCCACCCAATCCATTCGTCTTGGCCCAGTCCAAACCATGAAATATCCATGGATTGGGTTGGGCTGACATGCCCATCAGCCCATCCATCAAATCTTCTCTGACTTTGGGTGGGTATGGTTTCAATCTATCTAACGCCTTATTTGGATCGGGATCGCTAGCGCTCGGATGTTCGGACGGACACCCGTCCATTGTCTATGCCTTCTCGTTACGCGCGCCCACGTAGTGGCCCATGCTGCCCGATCGCGTCCATTGTCTATGCCTTCTCGTTACGTGTACCCACGTAGTGGCCCATGCTGCCGCTCACGCCACCTCCGCTTCCCACAGCATGCACATGGGACCATCGGCACCCGCTCGGCGGAGCCCCAGCAGCTGCAACAGACGACTACAACAGGTGAGTCCTATTGCAATATGTGCAACACCAACATACGTCAAAAACAGCTGAAACACTTGAAACATACATCTAAAACACTTGCAAACACCTGAAAACACTTGAAAGTCATTGCAAACATATGCAACATCAAGATAAAACACTTACAACACATGTGTGAAACATATGCAACATCTAGATTAAACATTTTCAACATACGTTTGAAAAACAGATGAAACATTTGGAACAGACGCGTTCAACATACGTGTACAACCATTGCAACATGTGCAACATCAAGATCTACTTTTGCAACATCCACATAAAATACTTGCAACATACCTATAAAACATCTGAAACACTTGAATCATACGTTTACAACTTGTGCTTTCAGCGCAACATCTCCTTTGTTGCTTGGGAGAATGGAGGCTCATCAGTGTGCGGAGTTCACCTGTGTAGAGCTCGTCGGTGGCACCAAGCTCGCCGCTCCGGTGGAGAAGGCTACTGCAGGTCTGGTGGAGAAGACCACAACAGGTCGCTTCGGTGGAGAAGGCGGTCCCTGCGCTAGAGAAGGCCGCAGTGGGCAGGCGGGGCAGTAGAGAGGGAGGAAGGCGGGCGGGCGCGATGGCCAGGAGGCACGATGGAGAGGAAGGAAGATAGGCGGCCATGCTTGGGTGTGGTGGAGATGCCGGCGGGCGGACGCCTGGACGTCGAGGTGGCGCTGTGGTGAGTTTTTTTAGAAACCACGGTTACCAAATAGTGGGGCGAGTGGATGAGCGGATAGGAAGGGGTCGACATAGAGCTTGGGAAGCTCTGACTCGTTAGGCTAGCGCTGTGGCCCACCAAAAGGGGCGTCTGAGCGGGCGGACGCCCGCTTCCTAGCATTACCATATTTGGATGCATACATATATCTATCTCATTCTATATGTATTGGAGTGGATAGAGGTCTAATTTAATTTAAATTCCACTCTACTCCACTTCACTTCAACACACATAGATTGTGGTAGATAATGTGGATCCAAATAAGATGATGCACATGCATCCACCTCAACCCATGTGCGTTAGGAGTGAGTTAGGGTAAAATTCAAACTAAACTGTACTTCAATTCAGTCTAATATATACTCTAATCTATCAGGGTCGATGGCTTTGGGAGGCACCGCCGCGTCGTAGCTAGGCAAAAGCTTTAGGAGGTGCCACCATTTCACAACTAGGCGTCGGTGGACGACAGCCTTTTCGATAGCTCTTAACCATCCATGTTAATTGATAAATATAATTTACCATAGCTAGACAGAAACTTGTGTATCTACAAGTGTTTTCTTATATTAGTTAATATATTAAATAACAACTAATGCTTATGTCTTTTAACTTTTACGATTCTAGCCTATACAAGTACGTATGGGTTGATGGACTAATACTTAGAAACTGGAAACGAGACCGTTATGATAGTTTATATATTATACGCGGTTGTTAGCACTGGTTAGTCTGTCAGTGTCAAAAGAGCGCGGAGAAATCAGCCGACGACCACATTAATTAGTTCGGATTTCACCGTCCATGGAAAACCATTAGCACTGCAAGTCTGGTGAAATACCGTACGCAGAACGGTACCTTCCATGCATGATACATGTGCTTACATTAATCTTGTCCTTTTCTTATATTATTGTACATTATTGCAGTACTCACGAATTTGCAGTGTTTGCACCGTCTGAGAACCGGCCGGCACATGCATCGCCAGCCGAACATATCCCTCACATGGACCGAGCACAATTTCTTTTCAGAAAATTGTACCGCTATTAAAGGGCCGGGGTGAGATAGACCTGACTGGCCAAAGAGGCTAAGGCCCTCCACGGTGGATTGCTAAAGTGCTGTTAGAAAAGAGAGAGAAAAATAAGCATCGCTTCTATCACTATGGAGGTGCTGCCAACTCTTGAGTGACGTCAGGAAAAGCTAGAGCGGTGAAAGTACTTGCGCCGGTTCCAACTTCTTTAAATATTATAAAGTGACTGTAGCCAAAGCGCGACTGAAATGGATTGTGGACGAAGACGATGAATATTTTATTGAAGTTATGGATTCCATGTACGAAGTGGCACCGTGTCGGTGTTTTGGAACCGGGGGTCCTTAACCGACTAGTGAATTTGTGCTGCGTGCTCCCAATTCTAGATGGAGATGCAAAGAGACACAAGGTTTATACTGGTTCGGGCAATGGATGCCCTACGTCCAGTCTGAGAAGGTGTTCTTGTATTCCTTGCACCGGGGTGCTCGTAGTAGGGGGTTACAAGCTAGGCGAGAGAGGGAGTTCGTCCTAGATCTCTGTGAGGGGAGGTGATATGAAATTACAGAACGAGGCGTGTTGTTCGTAAGTAGTATATCTGTGATTCTATCCGTCGTCTTTGAAACGGTCTCCGCTGCCTCCTTTTATAGCCACGGGGGAGGAAACCAGAGTACATAAGAGAGCTACACGTGGAGCAAGGACTATTCGATGACGTATTTACTCCTGGAGCAGCATGGCGTTGTCGTGGGAGTTCCCGTAGATGTCTAATCGGTATGGTCTTCACTGCAAGTAACATGCTGCGCATTTATTGACTTGGTGGATTGCAGAGGCTCGGCGGTGAAAGGGTCGAGATGACGACTAGAGGGGGGGGGGTGAATAGTCTTTTCTAAAATTAATCGCGTCGGCTAACCGATATAAATGCGGAATTAAAACAATCGGTCTAGCCAAGACTACACCCCTCTATATATGTTCACTAGCACCTTGCAAAGATACTAATAAAGCAACTAAGGTGCCGGGCTAGCTAGAGCTCTCCTAAACAATTCTAGGAGCAAGGTCACACAAACCTATGCCACTAGTACTTTAAGTAACAAGGGAGCTCCTACACATGCTAGTAAGCAAAAGCACAAAGCTAACTAAGCTCACTAGCAATGCTCAATAACAAGGCAACCAATGCCTAATTAGAGAGCGCAAATACTTAGCTACACAAACTAAGCAATATGACTAACAAGGTTACTAAAACCAAATTAGCCACGCATAAGGGAGCTACTTCTATGCTACACAAGCAAGAAGAAGGTAATTAGCTAGCTACACAAGCTATCTAATTACAAGAGCAACTACACAAGCTTAAGATATATATATAAGTAATTGCAAGCTTGTGTAATGGGGATGCAAACCAACGGGAAGAACAAGGTTGACACGATGATTTTTCTCCCGAGGTTCACGTGTTTGCCAACACGCTAGTCCCGTTGTGTCGACCGCTCACTTGGTGGTTCGCGGCTAATTAGCATCACCCGCTAAGCCCGCACGTCGGGCACCGCAAGAACCTACCCCTTGAGTGAGGGTAGCTCAATGACACGCTTTACTAAGGTTGCTCTTCGCGACTCTCATGGGCGCAGCACAATGCCCCTCACAAGCACTTCTCCGAGCGCCGCACAAGCTTCTTCTTGGCGCTTCGACGGAGACCACCACCAAGCCGTCTAGAAGGTGGCAACCTCCAAGAGTAACAAGCACCACCGGCTCGCAACTCGATCACCTAGTGCCACTCGATGCAACCTCACGATGCAATCGCACTAGAATCGCTCACTCACACAATCGAATGATCACTATCAAGTATATGTGTGATGGAGGGCTCCCAAGCACTCACAAGCATGGACACTTAGTCCCTTGAGGTGCTCCACACCAGCCATAGCCGAGGGCCACTTCTATTTATAGCCCCAAGGGCTAAACTAG